GCTGCTGTCTGAGAAACAGAATAAAGAACAGAACAGCTGGAAGGTCACTACACCAGTCTTTACCTAAACATGAGATTGAACCAGAGTCTGCCCATGAAGCTGACTCCTTGCTGACGAAATTTTTGTTTCCTAAATTGTTAATTTAAAATTGTAAAGTAAGTATTTACCCACCTATATTCTCCTTACTGCCTATTATCAGTTGTGTCTATTTATGTTATCCAGTAACTCCAGGTATTTCCCTGGATTTTTAAAGCATCGTGTACTCTATTATATGTAGCCCAGAGGTTTCTTCCCTCACCTCAAAGAGAACTGAAGCCTACACTATTTTCTTTCTATGTTTGGACGCGCCATGTTGCTTAACAGGATGCATCGTAGAAGTATTCTAAGCTATACTGCAACATGCAAGTAGGACAAGCAGCTTTGTAAGACCACACATTTTTCCACACGGTATTGATTAAAACCTGACGAAAAAAATTATACACTTTCAGGTTCACTTTGATCAATAATATGTGTCCCGTCTTGCCTGGTGAGTGAGGGGAGAGCTGATATTTTATTGCACTGCACAGCTTGCTAGGGACACCACAGGCCCTCCAGAAGTTGAAACACCAAGCTATAATTAATTTTATTGCAAACTTCCATAAAACTGTGTCAGGAACAAAAGTCTTGGCAAGTTCTCATAAGAGACCAGAAGTAGAGGGAGAAAAGGAAAGAAAACAAAGATAAGCAGGCTCACCACTCTGTGGATCCAGCGACATCTTCTCAGTCAGAGACTTGAAACCCTTTCTGCTTCAGTCCATGCTCCTGTTGTGCCAGGTTAACACCTCCCAGCTAGAGGGCGGCTGTTATCCTTTCCATCGGGCCAGGATCTCTCGGAGCCCTTCTGCAGGTGCAGAGTCTTTCCCATGCCTGCACACACGCCATGAGCTGCTCTGGAATGTTCTAGGTGGGTCAGGGCCTGTGGTGAGCTGTGGCGGGGTGCCGCAGCTGCGGTGTCTGTGCTGCTGTCTCCAGGCTTGTTGTTGCTGAGCCCGTTGTCGCCGGGCCTGTTGATCTTCATGGCCTCAGGGCAGACACCACAGGAAGATCATCCCCCCACCTTAGTGCAGCTGGTCCCCGCTGTGCCCCTGATGAACAACACCCTGCTCACCACCAACAGGTGCTCAGCCTTCCTCAGCTCCTTCTCTCCTTCGAGTTGTGAGACACACAAAGAGGATCACCTGACCATCACCGCCTCGGAAGTGCTAATGTCCTGATGTGCTGGCACCACCTGGCCACAGACCACTTCAAAATGAATGTGATATTTTCTCCATTTTGACTAATTCAAAAAGCATATTTAGCAGTGGAAAAGAAACATCACCCACAAGTGCATCCAGAGTTCATCCACTGTCACATTTGACAGAGCCAGTATAATCCTGTATGCAAAAAAAAAGGCTGCTCTCTCAATTTTTGCTTACAGATGCCCATGCACAACTCGCCTGCTTCAATGCCTCTCAGCCTGCCTCAGGATTTTATCTGGTGGGTGTCTGTCCATGTACAAGTTGTTGCTCTCACAAAGCCCCAAGCCTGAGCTGTTCTTGAAGAAACACCTGCCTAGACTTCATTGACTATTGCAGAGCTTAAACTCCTCCTGCTATGCTGGGTCATGTCACCTTGCAGGCTCACCAACCCTTCCCTGATTTCTGAGGTAGGAACAAAAGCATGACCAGCCTATGGCAGGAATAGCTTCTAAACTGCTGGCTCTCCTTGCCAAAGAAGGAGGTATCTCTGAACTTGCTTCCAACGACCATATGGGGAAAAATTGCTTAGCTGGCGCTGGAGAAATAGATGAGAAGGTCTCTATGTGTAGATTCCCTTTTCTATAAGTAAAATGCTTTAGGGTCTGGACTCTACTTCGGGTAGTCTGCTGCTGAGGTACACTTGCAGCTCAACTGCTGCCATCTCTAGGCCTGGCATGCAGTTTTAACAATCCCATTCCCAGGCTCCCCTTGGGAGCACCCAGGAGAATTGCTCTAGGGTCACCTCCTTTGTTATTTCTTCAGAGAAAAGTCATCTCTGGTTTCAGCTATGGGAAGAACTCTGTCTCCTTAGCCACTACCATAGGGCTAAAATCTGACACAACTATATCCTGCTTAATCAACTCCGGCCTTCACAAAGGCTTCTTAATTTAAACCAAATTTTAATAGTTACGTAATCTCAACCACTCATGCTTCTCATTAGTTAATGATGTATCCCCAGATGAGTAATCCATTCCGGGGCTAGTCTGCAGACATCACAGCAGGAAGATTTTAAATTATCCACTGCTTGAACACTCCACCCATCTGTATCAGGTTCCTGTGCCCTTGCACCCACTTCAGGTCTCTCTTTCCGAAGAGCTGTAAGGCAGAACAAGAACTGCTGCTATAGTTGTTACAGAGTTAAAGAGTGGCTACTATTCCTGTCACCAGACACTTCTTATTCATTACCCCAGCCATTTTGATTGCATTTTCCTCTGCATTAATTGGATCCATTTCCTGTTAAGCACTTCAGCAAGAAGAGATCCAAGATGCTGGTTTTTCTACTGAAACAAAGAAAGAGATGGGGGGAGGAGAGAAGAATAAAAAACCTTCCAGGATTTCTAGAGCTGGCTGCTCAGGACGATGTCCAGGCAGTTTTTACTATCTCCAAGGATGGAGATCCACAACTTCGCAGCTGTGCCAGTTTTCAGTCACTCTCACAGAAAAAGTCTTCTGTGAAGTTCAGAAGGAGCATCCTGTGTTTCAGTCTGTGCCCATTCACTCTGGCCCCGACACTAGGTCCCACTGAAAAAAAGCCTGGCTCTGACCTCTTTGTACCCTCCACTCAGCTATTTATATACATTGATAAGATCACCCATGAGACTTCTTCAGGCTTAACAGTCCCAGCTTTTTCAGCCTTTCCTCGTATGTCGGAGATACTCCAGTGCATCAGTTTGTTTCCCTTTAGCTGGACTCTCTCCAGTATGTCCATGTTTGTCTTTTACTGGCGTGCCCACAACTGGACCCAGCACTCCAGGTGTGGCCCTATCAGGGCTGAACACAGCAGAAAGATCACCTCTATTGACCTGGTGGCAACGTTTTGCCTAATGCAGTCCGGGATACCATCAGCCTTCTCTGCAGCAAGGGCACATTGCTTTGCTTCAGATCACACAACAACGCACTCTGTATCTCCCTTCTCGACTGCCAGCCTCATTTTTCTCAAAGATTACTTCATTCAGAGCATTCCTCACCTAACATGGAGAACTCTGAGACTTCTAAACTGAAATAAGCACCTCTGGGCTGACTGCAACCAGCTGTACCTATTTATGACAGTCAAAAGAGCCATTCACCTTTCCAAGGCTCATACAATAGGTTCATATACTTTGTTCCATAACCCTAATTCCCTTCCGTTGTACATGTGAGGAACAGACACATAACAATCTCCTCCTCAGCATCACCCCATTCTTAGTAAAGGACTGTTATTTTCTGTGCAGTTCAACAAGAGTGCACCTTCCTCTTCTCATAAATATGGAGTTTGCACATAGCACAGGGGGCCAGGGTAGACAGCGAACAAAGCAGGAGAAAACAAAGGATGGCGAGCAAGCAGGTCCAATGCCAGCACCAGGGACCTTGACTCCTCTCACCACAGAAGTTAAGGTCATAATGCTTGCTTTATTCATACAAGAAAGTGAGACTGTGTCTCTCTCACACACACACACACTATCTTTCACACTGTTTCTTTTTTCATAATGCTCCCAGAAACTTCTCCTTTTACTCAATCACTGTCGTGGTTCAAACCCAGCCAGACAGTTCATTCACTCACTCCCCCCCTTGTTGCCCTCCCCCTACCCCTGGAGGGATGGAGAAGCGAATCAAAAAGCACGCAACTCCCACGGGTTGAGATAAGAACAGTTTAGTAACTAAGGTATAACACAAATCACTACTGCTACCATCAATAATAGTAATGATAAAGGAAATAACAAGGGAAGAGAATACAACATCTCAGCACCAGCCAACCGATAACTCGCCCCTCCCCCCCAGCCTGACCAAGCACCAACTGATACCTCGTCCAACCCAGCAATGCCCTAGCCCTTCCGGGTAACTCCCAGTTACATCCCGAGCATGACGTGCTGTGGTATGGAATACTTCTTTGGTGAGTTTGGGTCAGGTGTCCTGTCTCTGCTTCCTCCTGGCTTCCCCTCCTTCCTGGCAGAGCATGAGGCTCACAAAGTCCTTGGTCAGACAAAAGCATTGGTGTTATCAGCTCTGTTCCAAGCCCAAAAGTCAAAACACAGCGCTGCACCAACTACTAAGGAGAAAACTGACTGCTACTGCTGAACCCAGGACGGTATCCACCCCTTATTCCATACCATTCACGTCATGCTCAGATCCATATATTTTCAATCTACCATCAGTCTTATTTCAGTGCACTCTTATCTTAGTGCATGGACCAGTCCCCATAAAGCTGCTGAGTCCATCTGGTCCATCATGTCAGGCTCCATCTCTTGTAACAGTCTTCCAGAGCAGGAGAGACTGTGTGCAGTGTTCACACACATGAATAACCTGGACAATAGTGTCCATTGCTAAGTCCACCCCTCAATCATGAGTCCATCTCTGTGTTGCATCACTGCGCTGTTGGCCTGAAGTGCTGTGGGCCCACCAGGGTCAAAATAATTCACTGTCCCCTTCAGCAGTTACTGCAACTTGTTGCTGGGGACTCCATAGCTCCATAAAAGAATGCAACTCCCACGGGTTGAGATAAGAACAGTTCAGTAACTAAGGTATAACACAAATCACTACTGCTACCACCAATAATAGTAATGATAAAGGAAATAACAAGGGAAGAGAATACAGCATCTCAGCACCAGTCAACCGATAACTCGCTCCGCACCCCCCCCCCAGGCCGACCAAGCACCGACTGATACCTCGTTCAACCCTGCAGTGCTCTAGCCCTTCCGGGTAACTCCCAGTTACATCCCAAGCATGACGTGCTGTGGTATGGAATACCTCTTTGGTCAGTTTGGGTCAGGTGTCCTGTCTCTGCTTCCTCTCGGCTTTCCCTCCTCCCTGGCAGAGCATGAGGCTCACAAAGTCCTTGGTCAGACTAAAACATTGGTGTTATCAGCTCTGTTCCCAGGCTGAAAGTTAAAACCACAGCACTGCACCAGCTACTAAGAAGGAGATAAATGACTGCTACTGCTGAACCCAGGACACTCACCTTTACTGTAAGTCTCTTCAAATTGTAATTGCATCATCTCCCAGTTCTGGTGGGGCTTCTTTGCCTCAGGAATTCCAGGGATATGGCTCCTATTTGATGAAATTCTTTGTATATTTGTGTTCCTGTATTTTATTTTCTGTCAAATTAGATTATGAATTTACAAGTACTGTTATCTGTGTGCACATCACATTGGGAATTTGGATCTTAGCCCATGCACTTGCTATTCTCAGCCTTGGAGATCCCAAATGTCTAAGCACTATTTGAACTAATTTCCAGTCAGTTTCTTCTTTCCCCCACTCCCTCTGTGTACATATGATCTTTAGTCACACCGAAAAGCCCTACACATAATAAAACACTGAGCTACTAAAGCCACCAGCACTGCATTAAACCCAGGTAGTTTCAAACTAATACAGCTGCATGGAGAAAATGCAAGATGACTGGCCTGTTTTCATGGAACATGTACATTACTTGATTTTTCCTTTCTGTATTTGCATTGTTATCTAGCACAGCAGCAGAGGTGAACAGCTTTGATGCGAGGTATGAGGTCTAGTCCTCTCTCTGCCTCTACCAAGAAAAGACAATGTGTGCAAGGTGCTGCTTTAGAGGATGTGATACAGAGCAGCAACTGAACCATTAATGTGTAAGAGTACTGCTGAGCTAAAAAATCACCTTCCTGCATGTCCTCTCCTGTTCTTGAGAAGGGAGCACAGAAGTTATTCCCCTGGACTTGCTGGCATTTTGAGCCAAAGAGAGAAAGTAAGCATTAGTGGTGATAAGCATCATGCTGCCTGGGCAAAAGAAAAAACATCATGTATGCTTTTGGTATGTTAAGCAGCAGGGTGATCAAAGTGCATCTGAGCATCCCAACTTTCTGTTTGAACCAAAGAACGCTATATAGCATGTTCCCCAGGCTAGCAACTACTGCCATGGGTGGATTTATACACCTGTTTGTTGCCTTGATCCTGAGATGACTGTGTTTCTGAAAAGAAACCAAATTACCTGGTAGGGGAGAACCCTGGTAAGAAATAGAGGAGCTGAAGTTGAGCTCCATCACATGGCTGCTATGGCCACTTCATAGAGCAGAAGACTATGCCTAGAGCTGAAGAGGGTATGGTGCCAGAGGTACTAATTAAACATGTGGAAACTCATAGCAATTTGTTATAGTCATATTAATACAATCACCTTAGCCAGTCTTTTTCCTGGATTACTCAGTTCCATTTGCATGACTCAGTTCTGACTTCAAAATTTATTAAATTTTCTCCCTTGGAATGCAGACAGAAAATGTAAATTAAATACAAGGTAAGGCTTTCCCTGCAATATAAAACTTAAACAGAGATGAAAACAAGAGAGACAATCAGAAAAGCAGGCCTTCGCTGTTAAACTTCACTGTACTTCATAAAGCAATAAAAATACAGATTAATAGATTCCTTGTGCAATGAAAATGAAAACAGTACAGCTGTATTTCCTCCTTGCAACCCATTGAACTAGAAACTTCTGCACTGTTTTGCTAGAAGTACCTTTTCTCTAAGGACAGAAAGAGAAGGGGTGTAGAGAAAGGCACATTATCCAAACTGTATATTGCTCCTGGAACTAATAATACCAAAGAAAGGAAAACAGTCTTGGAGTAATAGTTCTCTATTGCTAGAAAAGATAGAGATCTTAAATACTGATAAAACAACTGGCAAATACATTGGACTACACTTCCTTTACATCACTTCACAAATAGAGTAAGTGTGTTTCGTTTTGTCTGCTTGGATTTTTAACGGAAAATAAAATGTTTTATGAAAACGTAGTAACCACTCAAACTGAGACCCAAACGCAGTATTAAACACCTCAGCTGGGTGACATACGGATATTCCATTGCAGGTACTTATTCACCACTTTTTCCATTATTGCCTGCAACTAGAGCCTTGCCTTTCATAGTAAGGTACATCACTAAATAAGAGGTTAAACCATGATTGAAACCCAGTTACCCTCCACTGCTCCATCCCAGCTTTTAGGCTCACAACTGGCTCATTGACATGAACATGGGGAGTGGGAAGCAGAAAATTCACCAAAAACTCTTGTAAGACCCACATCATGAACACTCACCAGAGCATTCTGCCCCAAACCAGAAATAGCCAGGGAATGCTCAGCCTCCACGTGAAAAAACAACTGTGAGTATAGTCTGTATCAACAGCAGAAATCATGAACCATCGTATACTTCCAGTGTCCCTGGCTGGACAGACAATGCAAACCACACTGCTAGATCTATTTCTACCTGGAAATTCATAGAACTCTCTTAAAAATCTAAGCGTTTCACTCAGTATCAGGTAATAAATTTATGTGAGAAAATCCAAGCTTTCCTCCCTGAACTTAGAACCCTACAACCAATCACCTCCATGTGAAGGCTTTAAAGATTGTTTCTTTGTTTCCTGGAAGACATAAAATGCTGGCTCGCACTTTTACTTCCCTGGGATGGGAGGCAGGGAGGAAGAAAGGATGGCCCTCAAGGTAGCCATGCAAGCATGATCTGTAACTAAGTGATAAAAACTCACATTTGCCAACAAACTGTTAAGTTTTGCTTACTAAATGCAGTTCAGTTAACAGGCATCTGCTTATTACTGACAACAAAGGATATACATTTCCTTGAAAATAAAAGGTTGAAATCAAAACCAACAACTACTGTATTTTAAATGATGCAAAAAGGACAACGACTATGTTTTACAGAAACCGTAAGCATAAACCACAAGGATTTGGGAGAAGCTTTCTTACACAGCAACAGATACAAGCCTGCTAAGGTTACAGATTGAACCATGAGCATCACTGGTTAAAATAAACACAGTACAATTTTAGCCAGCACGGACAGAGGTATGACACACTGCATTTATTAATGAAGACAAATGTAACTGATATCAGAAATAAATCCAGTTGGATTTTTCTTATGTTTTAGTACCTTCCATTTCAAGGAAGTTTGCTCTAGAAGTCAGATGCTTTTACAGAAAGCCATTACAGAAATGAGGTAAAAAGGAAATTGCTGTTGCCAGTCACGTTCACCTCCATCTTTATAAGTAGCATCTGCTTGAAATTACCCCTAATGAACAAGCTGTATTCTTAAATTTCTGCAAAATCTGAAAAACTTTGATTTAGACATTTTTTCATTCAGAACTGGAGGGATTCAGTTTGAAAGATTGCCTGGATATTTCTCAAGGTAATTATCAGAGAATCACAAAACTCTGTCAAGAGGTGCTACAAATCCAAGTAATCAACATAAGCACTTTGAAAAACATCCATTTGAAACAGCAACTTAGGTATTCTTAATGTGAATATCACTGAAGAATTAAGATCCCGTTTTTACTGACTCCAGAAAGTCCATTAATTCCACTTCCTTCAAAGACGAAAAACTGCAGAACACTGTGTTGACATATTTGAGCCAAAACCTATGTATTTGCTTGAAAAAAAAGTGCTTTCTATCCAAATAAACATGATTGCCCCTTTCCTTTATCCCTGAAAACAGAATCATAGATGTGTAGAAGAGTTAGGGTTGGAAAGGACCCATTACCTGTTACGGCCAGTCCCAACACTGACCCCTCAGGGACACCACTCGTTACTGGTCTCCAGCCACACATTGAGCCACTGACCACAACTCTTTGTGTGCGGCCATCCAGCCAGTTCTTTATCCACTGAGCGATCCATCCATCAAAGTGATGTCTCTCCAATTTAGAGATGAGGATGTCGTGTGGGACAGTGTCAAATGCTACACACAAGTACAGATAGATGACATCAACTGCTCTACCCCTGTCCATCAGTTCCATAGCCCCATCATAGAAGGCCACCAAATTGGTCAGGCAGGATTTCCCCTTAGTGAAGCCATGCTGGCTGTCACCAAGCACCTTGTTGTTTTTCATGTGCCTTAGCATGCCTTCCAGGAGAATCTGCTCCAAGATTTTGCCAGGCACAGAGGTGAGACTGACTGGTCTGTAATTCCCTGGGTCATCCATTTTCCTCTTCTTGAAAATGGGGGTTATATTTCCCTTTTTCCAGTCATTGGGAACTTCACCTGACTGCCATAATTTTTCAAATAGGATGGCCAGTGGCTTAGCAACTTCATTCACCAGCTCCTTCAGGACCCGAGGATGGATTTCATCAGGTCCCATGGACTTGTGTACATTCAGGTTCTTAAGATGGTCTTGAACCAGACCCTCTCCTACAGTGGGGCTAAGGTCTTAATTCTCACAGTCCCTGTATCTGCCTCCCAAGACTTGGGTGGTGTGGCCAGAGCATTTGCCAGTGAAGACTGAGGCAAAGAAGACATTCAGAACCATAGCCTTTTCCAAATCCAGGGTAGCCAGTTCTCCTGATAGCTTCCTGAGAGGACTCATGTCGTCCCTAGTCTGTCTTTTATTTGCAACATACCTATAGAATCCTTTCCTGTTATCTTTCACATCCCTAGCCAAGTTTCATTCTAACTGGGCCTTAGTTTTCCTAACCTGGTCCCTAGCTTCCCGGGCAGCATCCCTGTATTCTTCACAGGCTGCCTGTCCTTGCTTCTACCTTTTAGAAGCCACTTTTTTTTCCTTTACAGTTTCCTTAGCAGCTCCTTATTCATCCAAGGAGGTCTCCTGGCCCTCTTGCTGCACTTCTCATTGGGATGCAGCACTCCTGAGCTTGAAGCAGGTGATCCTTGAAGACCAACCAAGAGTCTTGGGCCCCCCTGCCCTCTAGGGCTATATCCCATGGAACCTTACTAAGCAGGCTCCTGAAGAGGCCAAAGTCTGCTCTCTTGAAGTCCAGGGCAGTGAGCTTGGTGCACGCTCTTCTCACTGTCCTGAGGATCTCAAATTCGACCATCTCATGATTGCTGCAACCAAGGCTGCCCTGGAGCATCACATTTCC